GCCGCCGCCGCGCTCGGCTGCACAAAGGGCTGCGCTCCCGCGAGCCGCGCGGCGATTCCTGCACTCCGGTCCCGCGCGGAGACAAAAGGCTGCGTCCCTCTCCCCGCGGCGCCCGCCCGGCGCGCGCCGTACCCTCCATGGTGACGGACGTGTGGCTCTCCTTGGAGTCCTTGGGGCCCTTCACCTTCAGCTCCTGCGGAGGGAGAGGCCCGTGAGAGCAGGGGTTGGGGGCCGGGCAAGGACGGTGCTCAAGGTCACGGGGACCCCCACCCGGAGCATCCCACTGCTGCTCCTGCTGAGCTCCGTGCTCCGATCCCTGCTCCAGAGGGGCTGCAGGAAGCAGGGGGAGGGCGCAGCCATGGAGGTCCCCATCTCCCAGGGGAGCGCAGGGCCAGGCATGGGGCGCATGCCCCGTAGGGAGCAGCTCTCTGCTCGTCTTACTGAGGGCAGCAGGGACCGACCCAAACAGCCGCCCCGGCCGCAGTCCGGCTGCACCAGCTCCCGGGCTCATCTCCCAAACCTGCTCCCAGCCAACAGTGCTCAGTACAAAGGGTGGCTGCTCCCTGCCACGGTACATGCAGGGCCAGGCTCTGCCACCCCACACTGCCACCTCCTGCACAGCATCGCCCCAAACTGCTGGCACAGCGGGACCAAAGCTTGATTTGTCCCAGCTCCCTGCCCAGCAGCCACAAACTTCCAACTCTGCAAAGATGGCCTTGTCCTTGGGACAACTCCTGACCATCCTGAGGAGAGGGACAGCACCTTTATAGAGCACGTGGGAAGGACTCGGCCATGGGGACAATGTTCTGTGCCCCACACCTGCCCCCGTGGGGTGCAGAGCCTGCCCAACTCACCTCCGAAATCTTCTGGAACTGGTAGTTGCTCTGGCTGCATTTCTCTGCCGTCTCCAGGGCGATTTTGTAGTTATCCACAAAGGCCTTGTACACCCCGAGCTGGCTGGCCTGTAGGGAAGGGCACCCAGCGGGACGGTAAAGCCTGCAGCACTGCCACAGGCTGGGTAGCAGCAGAAGGAACGTGTCCCTGCCTGCAGGACAGCACGGGGATGCTCACAGCCCCCGGGGATCACAGGCAGCCCGAGGGCAGAACCGAGGTCTGCACGTCTCGACTCGCAGAGAGCCCTTGGCTGCAGCAGGACACCGGGGCTCGCACCAAGCCCTGAGCCGTGGCCGTGCCACTGATGCCCAGAACGAGCAGCAGAGCTGTGTGGGCAGCAGACAGAGGTGGCCGAAGCTAGAGCCGTTTCCCAGCGCCCGTGAGGCTGCCCTCTCCCTGCCACATGCCCTGCCAGGCCTCGGCAGGGCGCACAGCGGCATCCCTGCTCCCAGGCACGAGCGGGAAGCGGCCGCAGAGCCCGGCATGGCCCGGGGGAGCCGTCACTGCAGCGCCCGCCCGAGCCCGCGGGCCACAGGGAGCGATTTCCCTGCCTGTCCCCAGAGGGTAACGCAGCCGCCGCGCCTGCCCGGCCTGCCCAGAGCTCGTGCCAGCCCCGCGCTTCGAGCCAAACCCCACCAAGGGCTGCCCCGAGGGCTGCCTGCGGTCGCGGATGTGTGAAGCAGCAGAGGAAGAAAGCAGCTGGTGTGGCCGGGGCCTGGGGATGAACAGGACCGTGTCGCTACTACAGGGCATCCCTGGCACAGAGAGGGGCACCAAGGCTGCGCCCCGGCTCTCCACCCTGGGCTGACCATGATGATGGCCTGGAGGCCACATTAGTGCCCCAGGATGGCAGGGACCGGGCTGCAAGCAGTGTATTGTGGACACAAGCAAAGCAGAGCAGAGGCTGCACAGAGCAGGGGTGCAACAAGCTGCCCAGCCCAAGCTGCTGGTGAGCACCAGGCGATGCCCTGAGACCCCTCTGAACATCCTGTGTCACAGCCCGGTGCTCCGGCCCTCCTCCTCCTCGGCAAAGCAAGTCCCAGGAAGGTGCGTACCAGTTTCTGGAAGAGGTGGCCCATGGTGATGTTGCTGTCCCATTGCTGCACCTTTGGGGACAGGCTGTCGTAGAACTCCTTGTGGATCTCATAGATGTCCTGGATCTTGTAGAAAATTGTCTCAATCTGCTGGAGGGTGAGGACAGGCTGCGACGTGGTGGCCGTGGCCTTGAGCGGCTTCATGGGCTGCCAAACGAGGAGAAGGGAGAGTGTTTGGCGGAGCTTGGGGGGAAAACGCCCCTAGAGACATTTCCAGTGCAACAGCAGGGTTCCCATCACTGCCCATGGCACCACAGCCCTGCCAAGCCCAGACACCACTGCTCAAGGAGCAGCCAGTAAAGGTTGGCCCCAAACAGCTAAAACTGGTCCCCAAACAGTTCAATTTGCTTGCACAGGGGTCCTGGGACACTGGAAAATGTGAGCCAGGGCAAGGGCTGTCAGGGTCAGGGTCTCAGGGAGGCACCTCTGTCTTTGTGCGGCCAGGGAAGGCCAAGGACAGGGACGAGGAGCCGCATCCCTGCGCGGGGCCGCGCTCGGCCGGTGCATCCTTGCAAACTTCCCCGTCCGCAGCAGCAGGAACCCTCATGTGCAGCAGCTGCGTCTTTGCCACCCTGGCCAGTGAGTCCACAAGAGGAAGCAGGGCTATAAATACCTGGCCCAGCCACATGAGTGGAGCGAGGAGGAGAGAGGGGATGAGCAGGCCAGAGCAGAGCTGGCTCCAGTGCGACTGCTGCGGCTCCGCTCCCTCCGAGGAAGCTCCACACAGCCCTGCCCAGGGAAGGGGCTCTGGGAAGGAGTGACCCCATCTACTTATCCCATTCTGGGGACCTCCTTGGGGAACGGAGCCTGGGCTGGATGTGTGCTTACCAACAGGAGGGCCTCCAGCTGGTTGATGTAGATCTCCTCGCTGGCCAGGAACCCAGAGAGCACCAGCTTCCTCATCTCCAGGCCTTTGCCAGCATCCCGCTCGCCCTGCGTGACACAGCAAGGAGTCCAGCGGAGTCAGCAGCCGGCACGGGAGGGCATCCCGCATCCCACCGGGCCCATCTCTGCAGATACCAGCGTGGAAACACATCCCGGGGAGGGGTAACACTACAGCAAGGAGCAGCGAGGCCGGGCACTGCCCGCCGGGCGGCACAGCCGGACTGGAGCCAGCTGGCAATCACAGGCCGGGCTGGCGTCGCTCCCGGCCCGGCTCCTGGCTGGCCGGGCGCCCGGCGCCGCTGGCAACGCTCCAGGATGGCGCAGGCCGCGGCAGGACTCTCCCAGGGCAGAGTCCTGGTGA